TTTGTTTGTTTTTTTAGCTTTTGACCTGTTTGGTTAAAAATATTGTGAGGCTAAAAAGGCATTGCAAAGGGAAGACTAGCATGATACTTAAATGTCTTCCTTATGCAAATATAAGGAACTCCACTGAAGGCACAGTTCAGTTTTGTAAGAGGCTGTATGTGAAGCTGCAGTTTGTTGATGTTGTTCTCTGTTGCCAGTGTTCCTTGAACACAAAGGCAAGGAAACCATTCTATTCTTTTGAAATTGTTATTCTTTAAAATAACTATGGTCAGTCTTACAGGCAGAGATCCACTTCATCTTCCACTTTGTAGAAAGTCCCTGAATATATTGAAGGGTCACCAGAGATTGTATTGCAGGGTTTGAATAATGGTATGTCACCATGTATTGAGACAACAGCACAATGCAGTCTTGCCGTCCGTCAGGCATGTACCATAATTTTTGGCTCTCTGCAACACCATTCAACACCATCTACTTTTCTCTCTCATTCCCTCTATGGCTGCTTAGGGATATAGGAAGGGTTCCCAGCAGATTGCTCTGTGGTGCCTCTGGTGTGAAAGACACCTCTTGCTCAGCAAAACAAGAGAACTTCCAATCAAACCTATGTTTTATGGAAGCTTTTTTCAAAATCCCAAAGAGCCACTTGCTATTCTAGAACTAACGGATGAGTATTGCTATTGTAAGATGACTACTTGTAAATGAAATATAAACAGTGTTTTAATAGTTTCTCTTGTGGGAATATTAGTAGTCTGAAAAAATAAAATCCCCATGTCTTTGCCTTCGAACAGGTGTGTCTTCTACTATGGAGTACAATACAGTGGAGCTGAGACAGGAACTTGAAAATGTGAAGAGCATGAAAACAAAATTAGGTAATATAGCTTTATATTTTATAGCTTCCTGTAGTTGGCAATTTAATAAGAAGCCTTCTTTAGGGTATCAGATGAAATTTGTTAATGTATGCATACCAAAATTATTTGCAGTTGCCTGAAATCAGTTGTGATCCTAAGCCTATGTTTGTAAGTATACTCATTTGAGTTTCTACAGATAGATAAGACAACATATCATCATGGCACTTCATCAGCAAAGATGTTTAACAAAATAAATTGGAAAATGTGCAATGGGAATTTTTGCTTTTGCTTTTTATATTTCTGTAGAAAGATGTATTAAAATATCACTCCTAAAACAGAGATACAGTTCAAACACCATAGCATCTAATACATCATTTGCATGCTTTTGATCATTTGGGATGAGTGAGACACAACTTTCCCCTAGATTTTTTTTAAAATGAGTGATTTAAGTGAGACTTTAACAAAAATAATAAAATTCTTCATTTTTAAAACATTCTGCTCCTGTTTCATTTCTTTACTTGTCAGGGGTGTCACCCTTTTATATGCAATGTTTGCTACTTAAAATTGACATTTTCCAAGTTACCGCATAGCATCCAAGACTGCAGTTATTACTATTTTAAGTGTAGGGAAATACTGCAGTATCCTAGATACCTGAGTGGTAGGGAAATGTAAATTTTTAGCCTAAATGGTGATGTCCATTATCTAATTTTTAAATTAATCATAGGTCTATATGCTGACTAACCTAAAATGGCAAGAGTAGGAGGACTGTTCAGTATAAATGACTGTAATATAAGGCCCTACTTCATTCGCTATATTGCAGAAATTGCTGATCCCGCAATATTAGCCTTCCGCTGCAACTTTGATTTTAATTAGCTGATTTGCACAGTCCACAATTTTGCATACATTTTGAGTATGCGATTAGTGCTGCACTAACAATCAATCCATGTAAAAGGCTAAGGGACTGGACTTGATTTCTGCAGCAATTCGTTAAGACTTTAAGTCTTCTAAATTTTATATTGGCCATGTTTTTTTAAAAATGAATGTAATAACGTTACAGAAAATGTCTGGTTATCAACAAAAATTAGCAGGCATAACATAATATTTGAATATTTATATCATTCCAGCAAATTTTCTTAAACAAATAGGTCTACTCATTTTTTCCCAAAATACCGCTATTAATAAAGGTCCATTATTACTTTTCTGCAATTTTTCCATGTCTTGTCCGCAATTATTTGATGATCATCCCACGATTCAAGTAGGGCCTTACTGTTATACCTTTTTCTTTTCGGATCCTATGAAAATCTACATACACAGCTTATGCTCCTTGTAATATCCCAGCATTTACTGTAACACCACCCTTACAGAACCCTGTTGGAGCATAGAGCTATCCAAAAGGGCATGAGGGAATAATGTAAGTTTCAAGTATGTGACGGGGTGTGCCGTACAAAATAAAAATTTGCAAAACTGCGCCATGCTAGAGAAACACCCGTACAATTTGACAGCTTACATTGATGTGGTAACTGTGAGCATTAGACATGGATAAAAATAAAACCCGACTTACGGGAGCTCCATTGGCTTCCTTTAATGGGGCTTCATGATGGTTTTGACATCCTGGTTTTGTACCACTCTGTGCTATGCTCTAATATAAATGTTCTGTCAACTGACTGGTACCCAGCCCTTTTGGCTGCAGTTGTTTTAGAAGGTTACGTAAAATTAGAACATGAATCTGTAAAAATGACCATCATAAGACTACGCAAATTATGGTACTAAGTTTGCTTTTTTTCCCCTGTGAAAAGAGCGGCGGAAAAAAGCTTCTGCGTGGGAGAGGAATTTAGTGTATCCAGCTGTTATGATACTGCTGCTCATTGAGACGGTAAGAATTTTACTATCTTTTTTCCGGTATGTAGAGGTTTCTCAGTTACTTGGCGGCTAATTTTAATAGTTTTTAGTAACATGTATGTTAAACCATATGAAATCTGTTTGTTTCCCTCCTCAAATTTTCTTCACAAATATATTGATGTTTTATTTTCACCAAATTACATAACATTAAACATTGTTTAAATGTTAACCTTCAGAATTGACAGAATGTCTCTACTTCTTTATAGTCCATCTCAGTCCTCTTAGTTGCCTGCAACATTCTTTGCCTGTTGATTGATGAGACTGCAATGCCAAAGGGATCAGGGGTAAAGTAAACTTCCTTTCCTTTATTATTTTGAAAACTTCAGGGATGTGTTCAGAAGACTTTCTTGTAAAAATTCTAGTGAGAGACTGGACGTTGATGGCTCTAAAAACACTGTATTTTACACCTGAGATTAATACTCTGGGTTCAGTCCTCCAAACACTTAAACACGTGCATAACTTTATTCAGATGAGTAATCTCATTGACCTCTCAGTGGAATCAAGCCCGCTAATAGGGAAGAAAAACACTGGTAAATGGAGTGCTATCAGGAATCTGAGGCTGGTATTCTTTTTTTTTTTTGGTGTTTTGAATTTTTAAATGGTACAATAGTAATAGATTTTAATAGGAAAATAATCTATTAAAAACCTGTACAACAGCCCTGCCCATTTTCCTTTTGTGTTTTCATATCATATCTTTTTTACACATGAAACACAGATTTTACACTTTTAAAAATACTTTATCTCAAGAAAATAATGGAGAGCTCATTGGTTTGAGCATTGGCCTGCTAAACCCAGGGTTGTGAGTTCAATCCTTGAGGGGGCCATTTAGGGATCTGGGGTAAAAATCTTTCTGGGGGTTGGTCCTTCTTTGAGCAGTGGGTTGGACTAGATGACCTTCTGAGGTCCCTTCCAATCCTGGTATTCTATGATTCTTTAATTGTGACATTGTTTTTTTTGTTTTTTGCTGGTGGTTAATGCTTTTTTTCCTGCATGCATACGGTCAGGTCTTGTAGTTGTACAGCTGTATAAAGGCATTTAGTAAAAGCTGCTGTTCTGTTGTTAACATTACATAGAGTAAAAAAAGTCTGGCTTTAGGGAGTGGAAATGTGTATAAAATATAATATGGGGTATAGATGTGTTACATATGTAAATCATAATGCTGAAAACCTAATTGTTTTCCCATCTTATTAAAATGACTTACTTAAATTTGAATTCTAGCTAATGTAATTACAAAGCATGTGAGCCTAAATAAATTGAGATCACCCTGAATTTATAGAGTTGTATCAGGAAAATATTTTATTTTACAGTGATACTTTTAATCTATAATAGCACCTTTCATCCAAGGATTTTAGGGTTTTGCTAGGGATAAAAGTTAACTTTTTGAACACTTAATATTTGTATCTCATTAAAATATGCAAAGTATTTTTCTCCTTGTAGGGGCCTGGAATAGGAAGTGCCTCCCTATCCACTTTTGGTTTTGTGGGAGCAGCACTTGAAATCATTTTGATTTTGTATCCTTTCTTTAAGTAAGAATTCTGTCTGTTAACAAGTATTCTGTCTAGTTTTCTGGGACATTGGTAGTTTACTAAGACATTTGCCTAAAAAGAAGAAAGAGACAGGTCAGTCCCTCTCAAGCACTCGAAGTGTTTTTGTTTTTTCTTTGGTTCTTAAGACTTTTAGGAGACTGCTGAGAACTTGAGTGAAATTTGCATTCCTTGGAGGTTCTTTTTTCCTTGATTCTCACAGCTATCTTATGGTATCCTCTGTCGTCGGCTTCTATAGTCTTCGCTTTTTTGGAAATTTCACTCCCAGAAAGGATGACACAACTATGACAAAGGTAAGCTAAAGTCTGAGGTAGTGATGCCCCCCCCCCTTTTTTTTTTTTTGCCACCCAAGACAAACTGGCTCTTTTAGTTAGTAATTGCCCTGAATGGCTCATTTGCAGTGATCAGTATTTGTTTGTAAGCTGCGTAAACACAAACTGGAAGATTTTCAAAATGCTGAATGAGTGGGAAAAAGGATGTGCTCTGTTTAGTTTGGATGGCATCCATTCATTTGTAAAAAGCCTGGAATAGCAGAGCTTGTTAACTAGCTATAGAAAAGCTAGTGAAAGGACTCTTTCCCCCCTCCCCCCCCCAAGGAAACGTATTGCTAATGAGTAACTTTGATTGTGCTAACTGTACTTCAGGGAGCTTGTTTGAAATCTGAAGAACTTGGTTGCTACAAGTAATACAAAGTAATTCAGATTTGAGTAATTAAAGTAAGACTGAGGAGTTCTATTCAGCAACATTTTGCAGTCTCAGTCTAGTTTGACTTTCCACAGTTTGGCATTGGTTTCAGAATAACAAATGCTGTTACCTAATGCTGAGACACATGCATAGGTTTCTGACAAAATATTCCCACAAGCTGACAAGGGGGAGGGGATCAATAAGCAGGAGGCAGGATTTGGATTTAATTAAATATTCAGTGTATACCAGTGTTTAAGAAATTTCTTCTCAAATATAGCATATTGCTTTAATCTTGCCAGGAATTCTTGGAAGCAGGAAAGTACGTGAAGGCATAAGAACATCTCTAATAAATAAATGTGTGTGTTGAAACGTTCATAATGTCTGCTCAGTTTTCATTTACAGTATTTTAAGAATAGTTCAGAAAAAAACAAAATATAAGTAAATACAAAAGTTGCCACCTTACTATCTTTAACAGATATTTTATTTACTTGTTAATTGTTATAGAACCAGAGCTGAACAAAATGCTTTCAGAACAGAAACATAAGTTCAGTTTCAGTAAAACTGCAGACAAATCTAACATTGCTACACTATTAGATTGTTTGTTTCAATTTACCGACAAAACTCAGTGGAAAAGAAACATTTTGTCTTTTAGCCTTTTTATAATTAGGCTCTAATCCTGCAAGCAGTTAAAACATGTTTAACTTTACACACAAGTCATCACAAAGCAAATGGAATGATTCATGTGCATAAAGGTAAGCAAATAAAGTATTTGCAGGATTGGGGCCTAAATTTTTAATGAATCATAGTTGCTTTAAATGATGCAGTCACTATTTTTTATGAAAGCCTTTGGTGAGCATGTTTATAGATTAAAATGTAGCATTAGATGTTTGCTTATTCGCTTCTCTGCTGGTTTTAATAAGTATCTGACCTTGCTATTGTTGGAAGTAAACATTTTGTGAATGACACTTATTGGAGATGTCTAGCAGAAGCAAGAACAAATTAACTTTACATAATCTAAAATAAAATTACATTTTTAAGTCTAATTCACAGGATGTAGCTTTCAGAAACTGTTCTTTGTCAGAGCTCAGCTGCCATATTTCTTCCAGCAAAAAACCTATTTTGATGGGGGTGTTCTTCTTGTTCAAAACAGATAATTGGAAACTGTGTGTCAATCTTAGTGCTCAGCTCTGCTTTGCCAGTGATGTCGAGAACACTGGGTAAGTTGAATACAAATATTTCAGTATCAGAACAGCGAAGTATTTTTACTATGTTGTATGTTTTCATAATGTTTTGATGTAGGCATGTAAATGAAACGACCCAGGAGAAGTCAGACTTCGGATATCTATTAAAATAACTTCCATGGTGTTTCTCAGGAACTAAAAATCACTTCGTAGTTTTACTTTGACAGTCTTTGCTGAAATCAAATGTATACGCTTCTCTAAGTCCCAGAGCACCATGAATTATACATATAAATAGGGTGGGCAAAATTCAATTTTTTTATTTTGGGGGGATTTCGATGGATAATATAGATGTTTTGTTTTTAAGCATTTTTTCAATTTTTATTTATTTTAAATGTTTACAGTTGCACGAGATTGAGGGGAGTCAGACAACAATTATTTAATAATAGTAGATGTTAAGATTCAAAAAGTTAAAGTTTTACAACCATAAAAAAACACAAATTGTCCATATTACATCAAAATATAAAAAATAAATATCCTTAAATCAAATCCTTCTAAATGTGCGAGCAGCATTTTTCTATCTTTGCCTGTGTGTAAATTTCTGCTATTATTGATGGAAATGGGGTGTGTGTGGGGGGGTGTGTGGTGAAATTTATGTTTACCAACATTTACCAGTAAAAATGTTATCCTTCCAAGCCTACATATAAATAGCAGGGATCACACATTTTGGTAAAAGATGCGAAGTATTTTCTGGAAAATACACTACTTTTTCGAATGTTAATCAGAAGATCATGGTTTCATTTAAAATTTGGATTTAAGGAATATTTTTTTAAAGGGCTTTAGTCCTCTTAATTCAAGAAAAGCAAAAAAAAAAAATAGTCTAATACCATAGCTGGTTTAGTTTTTCATAGAAACTAAAGAATACTGTTGTTCTTGAAGGTAAACTTGCAGACAATAAAAAGAAAACAGATTTGAAAACTTTTGAAAGGCGTGCACAGTTATATCATGTCCATCTTAAAATTGTTTTTTGTCTTATGTAAAAGTGTGCATTTCATCTGAGTTCAGACAGATGTCATAAGTGGATGGTACAGCAAGCTATCTATGGATGAAGCAGCAAGTTAATGCCTTGAGCATAAAGGTTTATGAAGTGTTAAACACACTTCATGTATTTAGCTTTTTTTATAGTAATGGGAAAACCAGTTGATTGTTTTTGTTAAAATAACTGCTTATGGTCCTTTCCCCTCTAGGTTAATATGTTATAAGCTAAACTTTGGGGAAGACACCTTTATTCTGTTTAAAATTGTCATAGATACTGGAAAACTGGTTCAACAGATTAGAGAGAGAGGCCCCTTGTATTTGAAATGCACTTAAATGTTCAACCTATCAGACTCAGGCCTAAGTGCCTAAATATAGGCTTGTAAAATCATATGGAAGCATTTAAATAAGTCACCTGATTTTCAGTGATGCAGAGCACTTGCACCTCCTGTGAACTTCACTGGGATTTGTGGGTGTTGGCTGCTTCCAAAAATCAGGCTACTTACATTTGAGGTGTTTAAATATGAATATAGGAGCTTAACTTCAGACAGTCAGATTTGAAAACATCTAATTTTTGTTCTATTTAGACTCTATCTCCATGGCCTCAGAGTTCAGACTATGGGGTGTGAAGGACTGCACGTGCTAGTGGGCTGTGCAGTAACTCCCCTTTAGGACTCTGTCAATGTGAATGAGGTACCTTTTAGTTTGTGCTCACAGCATCCACATGGGGGAGGTATAGTGCAGCGTACTAGTGTGTGCTGCAGTTCACATCACTGCAGTGTACACAAGCTTTTAGTTGCAAAAACAAACAACAACAACTTGACTAAAGTGCCATCAGATATAAAACTATTGAGATTTCCCAATAAAAGGAGTCTAATAACTACATGGCATATTGTATACAATCTTCTTACGAAGAATCCCATTTTAAAGGGGCCAAACTAGGACAAATAAGCACTCACAAGTCTATTTCTGCACTGGGTCCCATTAAAATTCAGTGACATTCCAGGAGGGAATGCCTCTGTATGTGAAACAATACATTGTTGGAAGGATGGTATTCTAACCCAAAGCTCTCATCTTTTAAAATAAAATTAAATTAAAAAAAATCCATGTTTAGTATCCAAAATAATGTACATTATATATTGACATTCTAAATTTCACAAAAAATCAAAATAATAAGTCTAATATTTAAAGATTTCCAATCTTAAAATCAAGAGCAAATATGATAAAGATCTGAGAAATGAAACCACTTTTTAACATCAAGACCAACACACAGTGTTCAAATAGCAATGTTTAAAAATAGAATTATGGCATTTGTATTGTGCTACTAATTTTTATGGCATTTACCATTTTCGTTTGTCAAAATCGTTGGTTATGTACTGTAATTAAGATGAACAGTTGGTATTAATACAAGATAATTGTATTGAGGAAAGTGTACATGCAGGGAGCAATTGTTACATAGAGAACAAATTAATGGCAAAACTCTTTAAGTTTTTTTTTTTTT